ACTGCTGTAATGAGAAGAAATACATAGAGAGAGGAACATAGTTGGCCCAGGAAGTAATGGCTTTTCCTCCTCACTGAGGCCGCTGCAACTTGGCAGTGGGATGTGCCTCCTCAGGAGAGGGGTCCAATGGCTCCCATGGCAACCATTGGATTCCTGGATGAGCACCCAAAATTGTTAGAAAGAAGGTGAGCCGCAAAACCAGGGGTCCTGGTAGAACACAAAGGATCCTCAGGAGCCAGACAGCATGGCAAATAACTTGCCTCCTGCAGGAGGGTGCACATGCATAGGGTCTAGCACACTGAGCAGATGGTCCACTCAGGTTTTATCTGTTCCTCACTCTTGATTGGTCAGAGTTTAGGCTCACATTCTTGTACAATTGGCTAATTTAAAGGAAAAGGGGGGTGGAGAGGTTGATCTTTGTGGTTTCAAAATAGCAGTTGGCTAAACTTCCTTCTTTGACAGAAAAGATTACTTGTTTATTCTCACAACATTTACCACTTTCTACCATAATATATATTTATTTTACTTCTTTGATAATTGCTTTGTCTCACAATACTAGAATGTAAGCTGTTTGAGGGGGGAAAATGCTGGCGTTATTCACTGCTAACCTCCAGAGCCTGATACAAATGTGTTGGAATGCACTAATTAGTAGGATTGCCAGCATTTTCTTAATTGCTGGGGATATAACTACAAACATGACAAGGTTCTTGTCCTTAGAAATGTGGTATTTTGTGTGGGCCAGGGATATACAATAAGCAGAAAACAGATAATAAAGGGAAAACCAACAGGGACTCTCCATTCAAATGATGGGGCAACGAGAACCTCCTGAGGAGGCAGCCCAGCGTCCCCAGGGAGGGAGACAGACCGTGAGGTCAGCGGCTGCAGGTGCTGACACCACCGGAGAGCCCTTCTCTGCTGAGAGACATGCCAATTAATGGAGCAGAGGGAGCAACCTCCACACACAGATTGACTTCTCACTCCATACCTTTTGAAACTGTTTGAATTTTTGTATCTTTTTTTTGTATTCCCTGTTCTTCTAACAAATTAAGTTTAAGAAACAAAAGGAGCACTCGCTAGTTTGGCTCATTGGAGAGAGCATCGGTCAGAGGACTGAAGGATCCTGAGTTCCATTCTGGTCAAGGGCATGTACCTTGCTTGCAGGCTTGATTCCTGGCTCTGGTCAGGGCATGTGTGAGAGGCAACCAACTGATGTGTCTCTCACATCAATGTTTCTCTCTCTGTGTTTCTCCTCCCTTCCACACTCTCTCACTCTAAAAAAAAAAAAAAATCAGTGGAAAAATATCCTTGGGTGAAGATTAACAACAACAAAGTAAGAAGTTGAAGGAAAAGTCACCAGTAAATCCTAGATAATGAGCTATATAAGTAACTATGCTTTTACGTGGCCACTTCTACATTAACATCAAATCAGATAACTGGCTAAGTACAAATTTGCAAAGTGGGAAACAGTTATACAGTTTGCACTTACTAAACTACTTATTTGCATTTTTTATTATACCAAGCATGCATCAGCAGTGATTTTTTTTTAAAAAAAAAAAGCTAATTAGAAAAAAGCCACAATATTTATCATCTAGCTAAGTGTTGAAGCCGAAAAAGAAGAAAAATTGTCACAATCCATTAGAAGAAAAAAATTGCCAGTGATCACCCTGTATCCCTGCCAAAAACCATCTGAATAGTTTTCTTTTAGACAGAAAACACAGATCTTTTCATGGTTCCTTTTGTGAAAATCCTGCTTCCCTGCAAACCAGCGCTCCAGCACTGCCGCTGGGAGACTCCAGCCACGGAGGAACCTGTGACTGAGGCTGCCAGAGGACAGCCTCATTTCTCACGGCGCGTTTCCACGGACATGGTGGCACGGGGCAAATGTCTGAATGTCTTTTCCCGGGCATTTATTTATAACAGCGGAGATTCTGAAGTTGGCCACTTGACAGCAAAAAAACCCACAAAAAAAAAAAAAAAAACAAATAAACAAACAAAAAAACTTCCATAATACCACAGCCAAATGAAATGAAAATTAATTTCCTCCTTCCTGCTAGCACAAATAGAAGCAGAGCTGGCCACTGAAATACTTGGTAAGCAATTTAATAAACACCAAGTCTGCAGATTGGTTACTGGAACTGGAGAAATTTGTAGATAGGTATGTGAAACATTCTATGACTGGATAAATGGACATTAACTCCTGACCCTAGTTAATCCCTAACTTCCCAGTTTTGGGTTTTTTGTTTGTTTTTGAGAGAGAAGGCCAGACGTATATCACCTCAATATGATTTGAAAAAAATAATTCCAAAATATTGAAATTTACTAATTAAAGTAGAAAAATGCCCCAAATTCTAAGTCCAGTGTTTTACTTCATATTTATAATTTAGGCCTCACACAATAATACCTAAGTGAGCTCAGTGAGCCAAAATGGGAAATCCCTGAACACCACGGCTAAATATTGTTGAGTGATTACGGTAGTAAAACAAGGTTTTCTTATATAAAATGCTCTTATTAAACAGAACCACCACAATCTAATATACACTGAGGGAGATCAAATTATAAAATGGTTAGCTCACGTTATTGCACCATTAACACAAGCTCATAACTACATGCAATTAGATAAGCTAAAAACTTTCATATCATCAGTATACTGGATTGCTGATGCCCTGGAATCCTTTGGCAAATATATTTTCAACAATATGCAATTATCCACAGGATGTTACTAAGCAACCAGTTGTGATTTCATAGCAGTTTCTGCCCTCTAGTGTAGAAATTGGTGCTGTGTATGTAAAGTGATGCTTCTCAGGGAGGTGTTTTTCTTTTCTTTTCTTATTTTTTTTTTTTTAATATTAGCATTAAGGTATAAATCTCTTTATGAATTATACCATTTTGCCAATGTCTTTAAGTAAAATGAATTCACTGCAGATTTAAGTGCCTGGGGTCTAGTGCCACCTAGTGTTAAGTCGTCTTCAGTTATAATATTTCAAACCTGAGCACATACTATTATAGTAAGAATGGAACTTAATGACCTCCTTCTCCCATGCCAGCCCCCAGGGCCCAATTTCTGCTTCCAGGCATGTGCCATGAACAGGAATCAAATCATGACCTCCTGGTTCATAGGTCAAGTCAACCAAATGAGCCACACTGGCCAGGGATAAAGGCTGTCTTTAAAAGTTCATTTTAGTCCTAGCCAGTTTGGCTCAATGGATCAAGTGTAAAGCTGTGGACTGAAGGATCCTGGGTTCGATTCTCTCTAGAGCACGTACCTGGGTTGTGTGCTCAATCCCGTGGGAAGTGTGCAAGAGGCAGCCAATGATTCATCATTGATGTTTCTCTCTCTCCTTCTTCCAAATCAATAAAATATGTATTAAAAATAGTGCTTTGGGGGGGGGAGGGGGAGTTCATTTTAGCCCTAGCTGGTTTGGCTCTATGGATAGAGCGACTGGCCTGCAGACTGAAGGGTCCCAGGTTTGATTCTATTCAAGGGTATATGCCTGGGTTGTGGGCTCAATCCCCAATAGGGGGTATACAGGGGGCAGCCAATGAATGATTCTCATCATTGATGTTTCTATCTCGGTCTTCTCCCTTCCTCACTCTGAAATCAATAAAAAAATATATTTTTTAAAAATTCATTTTATTGGACACATTTCTTCAGCTGCTGCACTCAAACAAAATTTACCTTACCACTGGCAAAGAGCTTTCCTTGCTTGCCTAATGAGCCACTTGGAAACATTACCACCTTATAACTTTTGGGGTAAAAAAACTGCTGAGTCCTAGCCAGTTTGGCTAAATGGATAGAACTTTGGCCCTTGGACCAAAGGGTCCCAGCCTCAATTCCGGTCAAAGTATCTTAGGTGCATGCAGGAGCCAACCAACATGTCTTGCCCACATTAATGCTTCTCTCTCCCCTCCTTAAAAATCAATGAAAAGGTATCTTGGGTGAGGATTAACAAAACTGTGCTGAGATAGTCCATTTAAAATGTTTAATTCAAAAAAATAAAAAATTAATTCTTCTGCTTTTTAGGTTGGGAATATTGCGATAGTCTGATAATGTCTATATATATTGTGTTCTTTTCGCACAGCTGATGTGTCACTGCCATCAGAATTGATAAAATAACCCAGTCCACCGTGAACATGTTCTCTGCAGACTGGATAGGTATGCATTGGTAATCAAAATATGTAAAACCCATGATACTGACACGTGCCACTGCCATTGGTAGTGCAGCCAGCAATGAGAGGACCACATCTGGTCTCTATCACAAATGAAGTCTTGTACCACAAATGCTGCCCTCTCAGCCATATATCACTTTAAAGATTTACTAAATAATGGATAAAAAATGTTTGATGGCAGTTTTCAATGAACGTGGATTAGCTGGTACAAAAAGCACATTTCAAAGGCATTAGAAAATTAAAAATATTTGAGGTGAAAACCTATTTTATTTCAAGACACCCACGTCCCACTTGCATACAAATTGTAAAAAAAAGGCACATTTGCTGGTCACTGTTTAAACCATGAAATACAATTCCACATTGATGATAGTGAAGTGGTTAGTAGTCCATACTAGCTTACCAAGAACTGAAATTAGGAAAACGACCATATGCACATATCCTAGCATACACTCTTGAATTGCCTTCTCACTGTACTTAAATGTCCAGTTTTGACCACTGGATGCTGGTCTAAAATACCCTCATGGGTTAAATATGCACAGCCTACACAGAGAACCATGTAGACGACAAAGCAACGTTTTATTTTCTTTATTTAACAAACACTGCAGCTTAGTATTTAAACCTGCAGTTAAAGGTGACGCTTTTATGCAGACAGGCACTGAAGGCAGGTATGAGTCTGGAAGAAAACTGGGAGACCAGGGTGGCTGTTTCAGTTGGGGCAGGCAGCAAGAGTTACCAATTCCTCCTACTGACGCGAACCAACAGTGTTTCTTCCAACATACAGTCCTCATAATAAAATCCCATTTCCCAGAAGTATTATTCATAATACATTCGATTCACTGATTGCTTTTTCTTCGCCTTTTTCTCCTTGACATTGTAGGTGTTGCAGTCTCTTGTATTTGTTCTTTTACGCCAGATAAGGGCTGTTTGAAAACTATTTCATTATCTTCATCATCATTCATTTCAGCCACTTCAGATTTTCGTTTATCCAAAAATGTTGGTGTACAAACTGGTGTGGGACCCTAAATTCAACGAGATAATAATACGTAAGTGTGGGAAGCTATGAGCAATGATTTTACCCCTCCCCTCTATTTTCACAGGTTGTGCAGTGTTATTTCAGGCCTGCTCCCATCTTACAGTGACATGATCACACAGAAAAGAGCTTAGGTGCTTATCAAACTTAGTATAAAAAAGTCATGATAGATTGTAATATAATAGGCTCCATTATAGAGTATGAGGTAGAAAACCCTAATCTTACATTTGTAAAAACAATGGCCTCCTCTCTCCTAACTCAGTCACTTTGTTTAAGAGGTACAAAGTGCAATAATAAACTCACTGTATCTGCTAAAGTCACATTTAAATGTGAAAGAAATTTTTTAAAATATTTTATTGATTTCAGAGAGAAAGGGGGAGGAGAGAGAGAGAGAAAGAGAGAGAGAGAGAGAGAGAGAGAGAGAGAGAGAGAGAGAGAGAGAGAGAAACATTAATGGAAGAGAATCACTGCATATCCCCTACTGGAGATTGAGCCCACAACCAGGGCCTGCACCTTTGACTGGAATCAAACATGGGGACTCTTTAGTCTGCAGGCCCAGCTCTATCCACTGAGCCAAATCGGCTAGGGCTAAGTGTGAAATTTTAACAAACTGACAGTAGCAGGAACTGCTTCTCCTCTTTTGAATTAAACTACCTGATTCTCAAAATATTAAAGAGAATCTCACCTGGCTATCCACAGTATTCTCGGGAGTTTTAGGGGTGGCTGAAGCCTTCTTCTTCTTCTTCTTAGGTAAAGCCTGCAATAAAGTTTAAGAAACTTCATCAATTTCTCTATCAGTTTTAGTAGTTGGAATATATTTACCCATTTACCTTTCCGTTATAACTGGCATGCAAAAACAGAAAAACTTTACCTGTCTATTTGTGGATTTCTGAAGGTCAGTGTTTGAAGCTTTGCTTTTCTCCTTTTTACGTAAAATCTTAAGTAAACCAACACAAAGAAGTTATTACCTGGCAATATCACATATTTACATTTTTAACTTACCATTAGATCCTTACACATATTAGCAGCATTTCAATGTAAAAAGCAAACTCCACAAATATAGTGAATGATCTCCAGTAAAGGGCAAAAAGTAGGAGAGGGGCTGAGTTGGGAAGGGCAGAAGCTGTGGAGGTGAAATGAGGCTGAGACGTGAGCTGCCCAGGGTCCTGCTTTAGAGGACCAGCTCAAAATGGTTCCTAAGATGACCAGGGCCTGCCGCCTGGCACAGATTTTTAAACACATACAGACTATCTTTGGGATTAGGCAAACAATTAACAACCGGAACTGGAGGTAATCAGCCTTCTAGTTTCTGGATAAGGCTAGAAGACCTAATAAGCTTAGGAAGAGATGCCATCCACCTCTTACCAACCAAGTAGCTGTTTGAAAGTAAGCTGAAGGGTCTGTGAAAGATCAAACCAACCTCAAAATTTAGTGAAAAATAAGATCGTTACCTATCCTAGCCACACCTAGGGACCTGCACTCTTGTTCTAGTGCAAGACATAGCTCTCTCTACCAGGAGGGTGGGAGGGAGAATCGGCCAGCAAGGACATGGGGACTGCTGAGTGACATCTGTGCTGACTCAGCTTCATGCCAGGAGGTTGGCTATTCTAACCCCTGCTCACTTAATTCACAGATGACACTGCTGAAATCTGATATGCACTTTATTTCCAATTTAAAAGAACAAGAACAAAATTTTAACTGGAATGGCATAAAAAGGATGGCCAATTTATAGTCTTGTTTACCGATACCATATAACACCAAACTTTATTTAATTCTGGTAAGGACACTTTTAATAGCAATCTAGAAACATTGTGGTTTTGTTTGAATAGTGACTTAAAAAAATAAAATAAAAAATAGTGACTTAACTAAAACCTAACCCCTCTCTGAAATTTCCTTTCTGTACCATGTGGATTATAGGGTCTGGTCTGACAGACTTTAGGAAGAACTTACAATGCAGTGTCTCAAAAACTTAGTCAAACCCTAGTACATGGTAAGCACTGAGCTAGACACTTTATAGAAAAAAAAACACATCATGTTACAGCTACTGAGGTACAAAGCCCACCTCCAAGGAGAAAAACACAAAATATATTTTCTGAAGGAATATTTACCAATGAAGGAAAATCATAATTAATTCCCTTCTTAGCTAGTCTCTTTCTGAGTAATTTTTCTTTCTTTTTAAATCGCTCCTCCATCCGCAGCTTTCCAAGAAGTGTTCGGTTCTGATTGTACCGTTTCACTGCTGGGTAAGATGGGTTCTTGAACGGAAGATGCCACTCTTTAAAAAGTTCCTCGTGTACTTTCTCAGGCGGCATAAAATGACCTATGTGAAAAAAGAAACAAGTTTTCAACCGAGTGGGAAGGTACAACATAGTACTGATCCCCACGTGCAGTCCTCTGACACCCTCCTCAGCCCTTCCTCTCCGTGAATGAACTCATGCCGTCAACAAGGCTGCTGGCACTCTGTCATGGCAGGAGGAACCAAAATGAAGAGATGCTGGAGAGAAGCCGCCTGGGCAGCCTCATCAACTGCCTCATCAGATGTGCCTGACTTGGGTACCTGGATAGTCACCTCCCCCCCCCTCCAAAGCATCCCAAAACTTAACTCTGCCTCTGAAGGGCCCTGGGACCCAGACAGGGCTATGCTGGGATGTCAAGCTGGCGGCGCTGGTTTGTGTAGGTGAACTTCTGGTCTGGAGTTGCCATGGTTTCCCTGGTAGAAGAGCTGTACCACTGCCCTTCAGACCGACTGAACTGTGACCCCACTTCACTAGAGCCCTTTCATGGTTTCCCACTGTCCTCAGGACACATACCGAACTCCCAGATTTATGAGGACTTCACAGACCTGGCCTCCCCTCGATTTCCCCCTCATCTCGTGCTCTTCTCCTCACAGTCCCTCATAGGCAGACACCACTAGTCACCTCTAGCTTTGCATGTGCTGCCCCCACAGCCAGGATCTCACCCTCAGCCCTCCCCCGAACCTGGCTCACTCCTATTTCAACTCCAGACACGATATAGGAGTCTAGCACAGAGGTCACCAACAATCTATGGATTTTAGAGAGGAAGGGAGAGGGATAGAAACAATGATGAGAGAATCATTGATCAGCTGCCTCCTGCACTCCCCCTACGGTTTATTAAATAGGGCTCTTTATTATATAGGATCGAGCCCACAATTCAGGCATTTGCCCTTGGCCGGAATCAAACCTGGGACCCTTCAGTCCGAAGGCGAAAGCGAAAGCTCTATCCACTGAGCCAAACTGGCTAGGGCCAGATTTTAATCTAAACACTTCCTCAGGGAAGCTTTCCACACCCTTTAAGGTGGGTTAGTTGCTCTGCCTCTGTACTCCTAAAATCACTCCCCAATTCCATCTTAGCACAAACACAGCTCAGTCTGCTTCAGATTTTAAAATTCTAATTAGAACTGATTTCTGCACCATCCTTAAGGAAATCATCCCAGAAATGAGGTGGGATGGCCAAATAGCTGAGCAATTCAGCCACCCAGCAGCAGGTGCCCAGCCCTACGGGAAGACAAGCGCACTTACACTTTAAGAGTCTTTCACCAAAAAGGTAGTTGTTCATTGTCTCAGCAACTATCTTGGCAACATCTTCAGATTCAAACTCCACGAAGGCATAGCCTCTGCTATTTCCAGTCTGCAATTAAAAATTTCGCCACAAAAACAATTAAACTCTAAACTGCTAAAATGCTATTAATTTAAACAACACACCAGCCCCTTTAGCAAATTACATTACGGCACACAATGTGGAACTGCTGCGGGGAAAGGGAAGACCCCAAAGGCTGAACATGCCGCCGCCCTCGCGGTACCCTGGGATCTGACCACACAGGTAAGCCCATAACCACAGTTGGAATTGATTTAACGATCTGAACTCTTCAAGTAGCCAATGTTAAGAAAAACAAAGGAAGTAAAAAAGGGCAAGGAGACTATCTTACACAGGCTGGAGAGTTCGGCCAATCAAATGCAATGCAGGAATCGTGACTGGATCCCACAACAGGTAAGGGAAGTGGTAGCTGAAGATTCTGTGACTTCTGGGGAATATGTGAAGATGGCAAGTCCACCTGGACCAGCAGTCGCCCACCTTTCAGACCTCATGGACCAGCAGCAGTCCACAACTACCGGTTAGTGACTGCTGTGCTAGACTCCTATAATATCGTGTCCGGATTCCTAGTAGATTTACGATGTAGTATTTAAAGTCTTTATGACTGCTACGTTCTTCTAAGGTTCAGTAAAACAAAGTGTGTGTTTTGGGGGGAGCCGCCTTTCCTTCCCTAGCAGGAAGGAAATAAAACCCCCAGCCTGGGCTGAACCCCCGGCAGCGCTGAGCCCCCCCGAACCGGCAGCGCTGAGCCCCAGTTATGGGCCAGACCCTGGGGACCCAGGCTCCGGCGGGAGGAGACAGGGCCGTGAGGCGGAAAAACGGCGAAAGGCAGGGCCCCGGGAGTCGCGCGCAATGCGCGCAGAGGACTGAATAGTTGACTCTGATGCTGGGTTGCCCTAGCCGGAAGAAACAAGGCCTCCGGCAGCGCTGAGCCTCAGTCCGGACTGCTCCGAACCCCAGTTCTGGGCCAATCTCTGGGGACCCAGGCTCAGGCAGAGGGAGACGGGGCTGTGAGGTGGAGTCCGGGGAGAGCGGCGAAAGGCCGGGCCCCGGGACTCGCGCAAACTGCGCGCAGAGGACAGTCTGTGCGACTCGCGCAAACTGCGCGCAGAGGACAATCTGTTGACTCTGATGCTGGACTTCCCTAGTGGGAAGGAGAAAAAAAAAGCTCTAGGCTGGGGGAACGCGGAGGGGAGCAGAAGCCCCTGCCGGACTCCAGCCAACCGGGCACCAGCAAGGAGGCGGGCCACGAGGCCCCTGGGGGCGTGGGTGCCCCTGAGCCTTTGACCACTGAGCTCGGGCAATGGAGCCAAGGCTGGGGGCTGCTTCCTGGGCGGCGCTGTCCCGGCAACAGGCTGAAGCAGCACAGGAGCCCGCGGAGAACAAAGGGGTGCCACAGGCCAACCTGCTGAGCTCCCAGGACAAGGAGGAAGAAACCAAAGAAGTTCTCAATGTGAAGAAATCAAGTGAGAGCAAAAAATAGTAAAATTACTTAAGAAAGAATACAAAGAAGATCTTGAAAAATCAAAGACTAAGTCAGAACTCAACTCACCAGCCAACATTGCAACATAAATGCGTTTTAAAAAGAAAAAAAAAAGGACAGAATGTTGGAACAGCGACGGCCAGGCCTAGAGTGGCCAGGCACAAGGCAGTGGCAGCCAGACCCGGAGCAGCAACGGCCAGGCCCCAGAACAACAGCAGCCAGAACCAGAGCATCAACAGCCAGCACTGGAGTAGCCAGACCTGGGGCAGTGGCAGCCAGGCATGAGGCGGAGGCGGCCAAGCCCAGGGTGGCCAGTCCAGGAACACCCAGACCCGGAGTGGCCGGGCCCGAAGAAGCCGGGCCCAGAGCAGCCGGGGTGGGAGCAGCCAGACCCAGAACAGCAGTAGCCAAGCCCAGAGCATCCAGGTCGGGAGTGGCCGGGCCCAGAGCAGTCAGGTCAGGTGCGGCCAGGCCGGAGCAGCAGCTGCCAGGCTGGGAGCGGCCAGGCCCGGGGGAGCAGTCGGGTCGGGTGCGGCCAGGCCCGGAGCAGCGGCTGCCAGGCTGGGAGCGGCCAGGCCCGGGGGAGCAGGCTGGTCGGGTGCGGCCAGGCCCGGAGCAGCGGCTGCCAGGCAGGGAGCGGCCAGGCCCGGGGGAGCAGGCGGGTCGGGTGCGGCCAGGCCCGGAGCAGCGGCTGCCAGGCAGGGAGCGGCCAGGCCCGGGGGAGCAGGCGGGTCGGGTGCGGCCAGGCCCGGAGCAGCGGCTGCCAGGCAGGGAGCGGCCAGGCCCGGAGCAGCGGCTGCCAGGCAGGGAGCGGCCAGGCCCGGGGGAGCAGGCGGGTCGGGTGCGGCCAGGCCCGGAGCAGCGGCTGCCAGGCAGGGAGCGGCCAGGCCCGGGGGAGCAGGCGGGTCGGGTGCGGCCAGGCCCGGAGCAGCGGCTGCCAGGCAGGGAGCGGCCAGGCCCGGGGGAGCAGGCGGGTCGGGTGTGGCCAGGCCCGGAGCAGCGGCTGCCAGGCTGGGAGCGGCCAGGCCCGGGGGAGCAGGCGGGGCTGGTGCGGCCAGGCCCGGAGCAGCGGCTGCCAGGCTGGGAGCGGCCAGGCCCGGGGGAGCAGGTGAGGCTGGTGCGGCCAGGCTCGGAGCAGCGGCTGCCAGGCTGGGAGCGGCCAGGCCCGGGGGAGCAGGCGGGTCGGGTGCGGCCAGGCCCGGAGCAGCGGCTGCCAGGCAGGGAGCGGCCAGGCCCGGGGGAACAGGCGGGTCGGGTGCGGCCAGGCCCGGAGCAGCGGCTGCCAGGCAGGGAGCGGCCAGGCCCGGGGGAGCAGGCGGGTCGGGTGCGGCCAGGCCCGGAGCAGCGGCTGCCAGGCTGGGAGCGGCCAGGCCCGGGGGAGCAGGCGGGGCTGGTGCAGCCAGGCCCGGAGCAGCGGCTGCCAGGCTGGGAGCGGCCAGGCCCGGGGGAGCAGGCGGGTCGGGTGCGGCCAGGCCCGGAGCAGCGGCTGCCAGGCTGGGAGCGGCCAGGCCCGGAGCAGCAGCAGCCAAGTCCAGAGCAACTAGGTCGGGAGCGGCAGTGACCAGACCCGGAGCAGCTGGTTGTGGAATGAACCAGAGCAACAGAGGCCAGGCCCTGAGCAGCCAGGCCCAGAACAGCTCGCTCCCTGCCTGCCCCTGCCCCACTGCTGCTTCTCAGACATGGCTGGAAACTTTCGTGGGAACTTGAGGGTCTGCTGAATCAAGTGATGAAGGCTTAGATCTGGATGTGTTGAGTTAGTTTAGGACTGGGGTGTTGATCTGTGAGTGCCTTGGGTGGGGCCTGGATGAGGCTGGTTGACCTAGTGGGAAATGTCTTTTGTGTGAAGTGTATCACTGGGCATGTGGAGGTATTATTGATATGAGAAAATGCTAAGTAACTGATTTACTATCTGAAAAGGGATTTACTATTGGGGAAATTGAGGGAAGAAGAGACTGAACATAAACTGCACCTATGGATGAGGACAATGGGGGATGGGGGGGGACGGAGGGTGGGGTGGGAACCTGGTGGAGGGGGGAAGAAATGAGGAACCTTTGTAATAATATGAACAATAAAGATTGATTTAAAAAAAAAAATAAATAAACAGTAAAAAACAAAAAAAAACAAAAACAAAGTGTTTGTTTTTATAGCTATGGAGAGAAACAGCTAATGTGTCAGCGTGTTAACAATAGGTGAATCCAGGGCAGGGAAGAGTTGTTCTTTACATTATTGTTCTTTCCACTTCTCTATAGACTTTAACATTTTCAAAATACAATTCTGAGGGAAACAATGATATTACTGTAAAGAAAAATATTTATAAGAGAGCTCAAAAAAGGCAGAAAAAAGTTTTTGAAAAAGACAGTAAGAAAGGCAAAAGATAAGAATAGGCAGTTCACAGGAGAAGGAATTCTAATGGCTTATAAACCCATAATGACACTCAACAAATCAACTTAGGTCAGAAAGGTCATGTTAAACAACTGAACAGAAAGGTTAAGCAGTTCTCATAGAACTTTTATTTCAGTTAGTGCACATACATGTATATGTGTGCTGATTCCTCCCATAAAACTTATGTTCCCAGCAGCTTCACCCAAGAGTGAAATATTATAAAAACTTAATGTTCAATGGGAAGCTAGACAAATAAACGAGTATGTTCAAGGAGAGGTACATATCAATGACAACGTACTAGAATTAAATGGATAAAGCTCAAAATAGATAGTTGAATAAATGAAAGTGCAGAAAAATAGAAAGAATACTACCATACAATCTATACCGACACACTAGTGAAGATTTCCAAAACACACAGAGCAATGAAAAACACGGACTTCCTGACAGTGATTCCCTGGGCATGGGGAAGGTGCCGAGGACCAGGGAAGGGGCAAAGGGACCTCAGGTCCACCTAAAACCTGTTTCTGAACAAAGACCTGAAGCGAGTTGACATTTGATAAAGGAAAATGGTGGCTATCTAAAAAGTCACTAAATCATTCTCTGATAGACTTCAGGCCGTTTGAAATAGCTCACCCACATAATAAGCAACCATTACAAATAGACAAATGGGGGGAAAGAGGAGGCACACAGAGAAAATGTATTATTTTGGTTAGGATTAGAGAAATACCAGGGCATTTTAAATTTGAAATCCCCTTTAATGTTGAGACGTTGCTTTGACAAAACTTAATACCTGTGACTTTAGGAGATCTAATGGAAGATGGATGTATACCCTATGCACTCACGTGCCAAAAAAATATAAAATTTAACTCTGATCTGTTATAACTCGTGGGAAAATGTGAAAAAACGGCATCAAGACAAATGAAGATTCCAACAATGAGAGGTCCCTATGGTTATAATAAAAGTGTATGTATGCAGTAAAAAAATAAAATGACTTCTATTACTAAAACAAACAACCTTTTCAAACTAGAAGGTAGGGATGACAATAACAACATACATACACACACAGCTCTTTCTGTAAGAACCTCACATTCATGACCCTGCCTAATCTTTAATCAGATACTCCTAGGCTGTTGGTGCTATTTCACTCATTTTGCAAATGAGAAAACTAAAGCATGGAGAGGTTATCTAAGTTGCCCAAAATCAGACAACTGGTAACCCGTGGAAACCAGGCCTTGAACACAGGTAGTGCAGCCCCAGTGTCCCTATTCTTCACAGTCCCTTATACACACCTCTGCTCTGATGGGAGGCATACACAGAGGCTAACACAAGAGGCGTGAACCTACGCCTCAAACTGAAGTCCATGTGCAGCTGACTTAGTAGCTGCAGGACACACGATTCATTTACCAAAAACGGTGCATGTAATTAGAGCATCTGGGGCAACTACTCTCTTCTACAGTAAAACAAACAGCTAAAGTACCCCGGGTGTAACTCACCTGTGACCCTTTCTGGAGTGAAATCTGCTAAGAATAACACGTGAGCACGCCCTCTACGCTGTCATGATGGTGTACTTTTGAAAAATAAAATAACCTGCTTCAGTACAGAAACCTTACCCTTTTACTTCGGGACAGCCTGAATCTCGTCACAGTGCCGAACTGGGAGAAATAGGCGCGGATCTGGGTTTCGTAAAGTGCTGGAGGTAGGTGGCCCACATAAACGACTCCGGGAGTGAGTTTTTCTTTTTCTTGCTTCTGTTTCTGAAGACATAGAAAACCACGGAAATACTGTTTTAATAAAAAATAAAAGTCACATTGCAACAAACTTGGAAAACCCTAGCTCTCAATCCTAACAGCTAACGGACCAGCTGTTCGGCGCCTGCCCCACGAAGCCGGGCCCAGCTGCCGTCTTCTCGGCCCAGCTCTGGCGCGACGAGGGGCTCAGTGACTCTACGAGGACTCCATGGGTTCTAACACACTGTTGTCAACTCCACAGACACAGGGCCCTCCGTTTTGTCTGCAGGTCGCCGTTCACTGGAACCCGCCCCATGGAAAGTTCCCGGACCATGGCAAACCTCCACGCCGCCGCCGAACCTGTCCACATGTCTTCACTCCACGTGTGTAAGCCGGGCTAGAACCATGGCAGGTGGGACCGGATGGGAGGCCCAGGCTAGAACCATGGCAGGGGGGACTGGATGTGAGGCCCAGGCTAGAACCATGGCAGGGGGACCACATGGGAGAGGCCCAGGCTAGAACCATGGCAGGGGGGACCGGATGGGAGAGGCCCGGGCTAGAACCATGGCAGGGGGGACTGGATGTGAGGCCCAGGCTAGAACCATGGCAGGGGGACCACATGGGAGAGGCCCAGGCTAGAACCATGGCAGGGGGGACCGGATGGGAGAGGCCCGGGCTAGAACCATGGCAGGGGGGACTGGATGTGAGAGGCCCAGGCAGAACCATGGCGGGGGGACCGGATGGGAGGCCCAGGCTAGAACCATGGCAGGGGGGACTGGATGTGAGAGGCCCAGGCAGAACCATGGCGGGGGGACCGGATGGGAGGCCCAGGCTAGAACCATGGCAGGGGGACCGGATGGGAGGCCCGGGCTAGAACCATGGCGGGGGGACCGGATGGGAGGCCCTTGGCGAAGGGAGCTGGCAGGCACTGCCCCTGCGGGCCCCGTCGGCCGCGCGCAACCGCCTGGGCACACCGGGCGGCGGCAGCGCGGGGCCGGGCGGGAGCGCCCTCCCAGCGGCGGCTCCTTCCTCCCGCGCCACCCGCTCAGCTCCGCAGGGCCCGCCCGGCGAGCCTTCTCCCCCATCACACCGCCTCCCCGCTCGGGGCAGCCCCCAGGGCCGCCCGGGAGGCAGCGGAGGCCGGGGAGGGCGAGGCCGGGGCCGGGCCGCAGGCCGCCCGCTCACCTTGGCCGCGCGCCGGCGGGCCTGGGCCACCTCCTGGTGGAACTTGGCGTCCTCCTGCGGGTTCAGGGACAGCAGCGGCTGCGCGGGGCCCGAGAACACCGCCATGCCGGCCGCGTCCGCTCCGCACGGCTCCACGCGGCGGCCCCGGAAGTGCCTGAGCCCGTCGCTCCTCCCGAGCGGAAGTGGAGGCGGCGCCGCGAGGAGCGGGGGCGGGGCGCGCGCCAAGGCGGGCGGGCGCCCCCTGCTGGCGAGGCGCCGCTTGGCCTCGCTCTCTTGCCGGCCCTTCGCTGACATGGCAGATGGCAATTCGCTCACGCCTACTCTGTGGCCAGCCAATTTCGCGGAGTCGGGGGGTGGAGGGCTATGGGGGTTTAGGGGCGGGAGAGGCAGGTGTGAGATATTTAAAAAATTCCAAAACAAGACCCGTGAACTCGAGGTCTTGCTACCCATACTTGATTGGGGAGGACAGGACTCTGAGGGTGTGCTGAGGGCTGGCAGGAGGGACGCAGGGTGGGCGCTGGGAGGGGCCTGCTCACCCCGTTCTCCCTTCCTACCACTCTGCCGGGTCCCTGTGGAGTCATCCAAATGTGCCCCCATCGGGGCTGGAGCCAGCCCGCTGGGCGCACTCAGACACAGGCGGGTGGGGACGGGCCTGCAAAGGAGACTTCAGGCAGAGAGGGAGCAAAGCATGTCAGCGCGCCCCTCAATGAGGTCACCTGCCAGCTGAGCACAGCTGCCCAGCCCAGCCTCTTTGTAGGTAGTGACATGGGTGAAGCGGGTGACTACCCCAGGGGGTGACTACCCCAGGGGGTGGGGATAGGGAGAGTGGATTGTGGGGGTGCCCAAAAGGCCCAGACTTCCTCTCCAGGCCCTGGGCTGCACCAATCTCCTCCACCTCAGGATCCTTTCTTGCCATGGAGTATGGTCATGGTGCCTGGGGCCCGGCAGGGCCTGCAGTCCACAGCGTAATGCCCTCTTCCCAGCCTGGATTGGCAGGTGTTTTCTGTATTTTATGAGGTTTTGACACCTTCAAAAGCTGTCTGGTCGGGAGAGACTGTCCTTTCAGGGCCAGCCAATCCTTGGAGAGACAGCACAGGCCCCACTGCCATGTCTCTCATATGCCTCTTCTTCGGCCAACTCTCATACACCAACCACTGTTCCCTGTGCTCTCTGTCACTCCAGGGCCAGGCACCGGGCAACCAGAGACCACTCCTGTGGCCCAAAGCTACGAAAATAATCTAATGGCTGATAACACAACGTTTTGTAAGTTGTCGTGTTTTTGGGTTTGTTTTTTTTTTTTTGTAAGTTTGTGTTTAATTCTTCACTTTCAAAAGCATTAATGGAAGCCTATGTTATTAAAAACAATAATTGTTTAAAAAATATTGAATGATAAACCACTGTTATTTTGGTCAATATCAAGTGAAGAATATAAGTGAAATTGCTATAAAGAGAACTTCTTCCATTCCTTCTACGTACCTTCATGAATATCTTAGACTGAATTCTCAAGAAGGCAATGTCTAAAGAAAAGATATTATTAGGGTGGGTGGGTGAATCTCAGGCCATCGAGAGTAAAGGACAAATGGAAGAAGGCAGCAAGAGACAGAATGCAAATACAACATGGTGCATTGTTACACTTGTCACAGTCTTGCAAAAACCCAGTTGGTTGCTCAGATACATGGGCCATTTCTGCATTTACGGAAAGATTGCTTGGAGCTATTGGTTCTTCGAAGAGTCTGTTAGGAAGAGAAAGGGCAAGGGATTTATCTGTGGGCCTTAACCATATCCTGCTCTTTACTGGTCAAGGTTTGCCCCTGGAGTGTTAACCTCACACCCTTTCAGGTTATGTACACAGCTCCCCTGGGAAGTTGTTGGTGAAGTTGGAACTGGGCTGCAGCTGCCATAAGGAGCATAATAAAGGCAGTGCTGAAGCTTAACCCATGACCCAGGGGAGGCCAGGGCACCGGTGGGACTAATGAATGCATGAGATTGTCAGGTAGGCTCCACACAGAGTTTCCTAGGTTTCCATGTTGCTTCTCATAAAGAATAATGGGGGACCTTCGCAGGAGATAATTACTGTGAATTTAATTACCCATCTATGTATCATCTCTTTCTCTCTCTCTCTCTCTCTCTCTCTCATATTCATCCATAGCTACATGAATTGGGGGGAAGAGGGGGAGAAAAGAACATATAGCCCAGCCGGTTGAATATCAACCTATGAGCCAGGAGATCACAATTTGATTCCTGGTCAGGGCACATGCCTGGGTTTGGGCTTGATCCCCAGTAGGGGTATGCAGGAGGCAGCCGATCAGTGCTTCTCTCTCATCATTGATGTTTTTCTCTCTCCCTCTCCCTTACTCTCTGAAATCAATAAAAATATCTTTTTTTTAATTAGCCCTAATTTATCTCATTTAAATATCAGCCCATTAAAACTTGACTCTTCTTGTTTAATATTTATAAAAAGAATAATATATTTATGTTATTTTGATCAACCATGTATTACTGTTGAATAATCTAGAAGGAATTTTAACACGTAGTTGTTTATGATAAAAGAAAATTAGCACTTTAATTTATATTAAATTTTAGGGGATTATTGATGGATAATCATAAGATTTTAAATAAGAAATACTTTTATGTTGAATTAAAATTCTTGTGGGAGGCCGAAACCGATTTGGCTCAGTGGTAGTGCGTCGGTCTGCGGACTGAAGGGTTTGATTCCGGTCAGGGGCATGTAAGTTGGTTGCAGGCACATCCCCAGTAGGGGGTGTGCAGGAGGCAGCTGGTCGATGTTTCTCTCTCATTGACATTTCTGGCTCTCTGTCTCTCTCCCTTCCTCTCTGTAAAAATCAATAAAATATATTTTAAAAAAAATTCTTGTGGGAGAAGTGAAATAAAAATAGTTGTTTAAAAGGGGCATATACAGGCCAGGAGCAGCGGCTGCCAGGCTGGGAGCGGCCAGGCCCGGGGGAGCAGGCAGGGCGGGTGCGGCCAGGCCCGGAGCAGCGGCTGCCAGGCTGGGAGGGGCCAGGCCCAGGGGAGCAGGCGGGGCGGGTGCGGCCAGGCCCGGAGCAGCAGCTGCCAGGCTGGGAGCGGCCAGGCCCGGAGCAGCAGCAGCCAAGTCCAGAGCAACTAGGTTGGGAGCAGCAGTGACCAGACCTGGAGCAGCTGGTTGTGGAATGAACCAGAGCAACAGAGGCCAGGCCCTGAGCAGCCAAGCCCAGAACAGCTTGCTCCTTGCCTGCCCCTGCCCCACGGCTGCTTCTCAGACATGGCTGGAAACTTTCGTGGGAACTTGAGGGTCTGCTGAATCAAGTGATGAAGGCTTAGATCTGGATGTGTTGAGTTAGTTTAGGACTGGGGTGTTGATCTGTGAGTGCCTTGGGTGGGGCCTGGATGAGGCTGGTGGACCTATTGGGAAATGTCTTTTGTGTGAAGTGTATCATTGGGCATGTGGAGGTATTATTGATATGAGAAAATGCTAAGTAACTGATTTACTATCTGAAAAGGGATTTACTATCGGGGAAAGTGAGGGAAGAAGAGATTGAACATAAACTGCACCTATGGATGAGGACAATGGGGGATGGGGAGGGGGCAGAGGGTGGGGTGGGAACCTGGTGGAGGGGGGAAGAAATGAGGAACCTTTGTAATAATATGAACAATAAAGATTGATTTAAAAAAATAAAAAATAAATAAAAGGGGCATATAAAACAGTAAGGTTCTACAAAAAATTAAGCATAGTATTACCACATGATCCAACAATTTCACTTTGGGTTATATACCCAAAAAAATTGAAAGCAGGGACTCGAGCAGATAATTTTGCATCTATGTTCATAGCAGTATTATTCACATTAGCCAAAAGGTGGACAAACAAAATGTCTATTGATATATGAATAAATAAAATGTAGTATATACATAAACTGGAATATTCAGTGTAGAGGACCAAATGGGAAGACACCTGGACATTCTTTAGATTGTTGCTGACTGGGCCCCGGATATTGGCGGAGTCATGTCAGCTGCACTCCCGCCCTGGGAGTGCGGAGATGTTCTTAGTTCCTGGCTTGTGTTTGTCGGGGAGGAAGGAGTGGGTGGGACCTGGGCCCTCCCAGGCTCCTTGTTTTCCTGTAAAACCCCTTGATGGACTGGAGTATAAATAGATGAGCTGCGTGGTTCAGGAGGTCGTCGTCTGTCTCTCCAGCAGAGGAGGTCGGTGGCCCTCCCAGCTCCCAGCTTGAAATCTATCTCTGTGTCTTCTCTCTTTATTTCTAATATTTCTCAATCCCTGGGCACCTCCACTTAGAACAGGTTCGTTCATCTCTCTTTCCATTCGGGACACGGAAAAGGGAGATCCCAGCCACATCAGGCCCTTGCAATTCAGTGTTAAAATGAAATGAAGCCGGGACCGGTTTGGCTCAATGGATAGAGCGTCGGCTTGGGGACTGAAGGGACCCGGGTTCGATTCCGGTCAAGGGCACGTACCTTGGTTGCGGGCACATCTCCAGTAGGGGGTGTGCAGGAGGCAGCTGATCGATGACTCTCTCTCATTGATGTTTCTAACTCTCTATCTCTCTCCCTTCCTCTCTGTACAAAATCAATAAAAAAATATAAAAAAAAAAAAAAAATGAAATGAAATTCTGACACCAAGTACAACATGCATGAATCTTGAGGTCATTATGCTAAGTGAGGTAAGCCAGTCACAGAAAGACAAATACTGTATGAATTCCACTTCTATGAGGCACCTGACTGACTAGTCGTATTCAGAGAAAGTTGTCTTTACACACATTATTGCTAATCCTCATAACTTTTAGAGATAAGTAGACTAATTCTAACTTGACAAATGAGAAAAGACTCCCTTATGTTATGCTTGAAAATCACCTTAGATTTTTCAGAAATAAAGTGATTTGGCAAACTCCTGTTTCAGCTAGAATTGATAACCAAAACAGCGAACTGAGGTTTTTGTCCGGGGTTGTGTCTCAGGAAGCTGAAAAATAAAATAACAAACCAGCAGATTTAAGTAAAAGCATGGAAGATTTGTTATAAGTAGGTTCAGCTCCCTCATGGGGAGGGCCCTCAATAATGGGTTTCCAGTGAAGCTAATCAGTCTAGAAGTATATATGTGCCTGCTCCATATCTGTCAACACCTGATTGATTCCCTCAATTGTTCTTGCTCAGCTACAAGGCCTGAACTATTCTGTCCCTATGTGTCAGTTCACCTTATAGACACTTCCTACTTTCACATACCTCCTGCTCTGAGCCTAAAAACATTTTTTTTTTTTTAAATTCCTGCATGGTTGGTTTCTGTGATTAGGCCTGCTCAAACTGCCATGTCTGGCCCTGACTACATTTCACCTGCCTTTTATTTTTTTCATTGGACCCTTGCCTGTTTGCCTGCATGTCAAGCTAAATCCTCTCAGAATTTTATTTATTTTTTTATCAATCTTTTAAAAAAATAAATCTTTATTGTTCAGATTATTATAATTGTTTCTCCCCCACAGAGCTCCCCTCCACCTGGTCCCCACTCCACCCTCTGCCCTTACCTCCCCCGCTCCCCATAGGTATATGATTTTTGTCCAGTTTCTTCCTGTACCCCCCCACACAGACGCCCCTTTCCCCCTGAGAATTATCAATCCCCTCCCATTCTATGCCCCTGATTCTATTATATTCACCAGTTTATTCTGTTCCTCAGATTTTTAATTCACTTGTCTTTTAGATTCACTTGTTGATACATATGTATTTGTTGTTCATAATTTTTATCTTTACTTTTTTCTTCTTTTTCTTCTTTGTAAAGAAAGCCTTTTAGTATTTCATATAATACTGGTGGTGATGTACTCCTTTAGCTTTTTCTGATCTGTGAAGCTTTTTATCTGCCTTTTAATTCTGAATAACTTTGCTGGATAGAATAATCTTGGTTGTAGGTTCTTGCTATTCATCACTTTGAATATTTCTTGCTACTCCCATCTGGCCTGAATAGTTTCTGTTGAGACCTCAGATAATAGTCATATGGGTGCTTCCTTGTAGGTAACTGTTTTTCTCTTGCTGCTTGTAAGATTCTTTGTATTTTGCTCTTGGCATTTTAATTATGATGTGTCTTGGTGTGGTCCTCTTTGGATTCCTCTTGTTTGGGGTTCTGTGTGCTTTCTGGATTTGTAAGTCTATTTCTTTCACCAGGTGGGGGAAGTTTTCTGTTATTATTTTTTCAAATAGGTTTTCAGTGTCTTGCTCTCTCTCTTCTTCTGGCACCCCCATAATTTGGATGCTGGTACACTTGAAGTTGTCCCAGAGGCTTCTTACACTATCTTCAACTTTCTGGATTCTCTTCTCTTCTTGCTTCTCTGGAGGAGTGTCCTTTGCTTCTTTGTATTTCAAATCTTTGACTTGATTATTGCATTCCTCTACTCTGCTGTTGGGTCTCTGTATCATATTTTTTATTTCAGTCAGTGTATGTTTAATTTCTAGTTGGTTTAATTTCTTTTTCATATTCTTATCAGCCTTTTCTAGGAAATTCTTGAAAAACCTTATAACCATGGTTTTGAACTCTATATCCAGTCTTTTGTTCTCCTCCATTTCTTTTGTTTGAGATCTCTTTCCTTTTCTCGGCATTTTCATTGTTTCCCTGATTTGGTAGGATAGTTTTGTGGGCCTGGGTGTCCTATATGGTTCAATGGGTCAGCCTCCCAGTTGCCTGATGTGGATATTCTTGGCGCACCCCTTTATGGTCTGTGTGTGCACCCTTGTTAAGTCTTGATTATTGTTGTTGTCATTGGGAGGAATTGACCTCCAGGCCAGTTGGCTATGAGGACCCGCTGTGTCTATAACAGAAGAACTGCTGTGCTGGAGACGAGTTTATGGGATAGGACTTGTTCCCGTAGGGCTTTGGTGCTCACTGAGTCTGTCTCTTGAATTCTTCATAACATGAGGCCAGAGTGGTGAGGGATCATCCGCACACCAGGTGGCTGAGCCTGGGATGGCTCCAGCACCCAGAGAGGGGCTTCAGTGGCTTTTAAAGGACTTCTGGCGGGCTTTTTCTGGGAGGAGACTTTTTTTTTTTTTTAAATATATTTTATTGATTTTTAACAGAGAGAAAGGGAGAGAGATAGAGAGCTAGAAACGTCGATGAGAGAGAAACATCGACCAGCTGCCTCCTGCACACCCCCTACCAGGGATATGCCCGCAACCAAGGTACATGCCCCCGACCGGAATTGAACCCGGGACCCTTCAGTCCGCAAGGCGACGCTCTACCACTGAGCCAAACCGGCTTCGGCTGGGAGGAGACTTTTTTTTTAAAAAAAATATATTTTTTACGGAGAAGAAGGGAGAAGGATAGAGAGTTAGAAACATCGATGAGAGAGAAACATCAATCAGCTGCCTCCTGCACATCCCCTACTGGGGATGTACCCAAAACCAAGGTACATGCCCTTGACCGGAATTGAACAGGGGACCCTTCTGTCCACAGGTAGATGCTCTATCCACTGAGCAAATTGGTTAGGGCAGGGCGGAGACTTCTTTATGCATACCTGGAGAGGAGAGACTGGAATGCGGTCACCACAAGTGAAATGTGGTCAAAGGGAATGTCCATAGTGAAATGACCTGAAAACAGTTCCCAGGGGAGAGGTATTAATTAAATTGCTCAACCAAACCTAACAATAACTTTTGCTTTAATAATGTTTCACAGGCTTTGGGAAAATAAGACATCTGCCAGGATTGTCTCCTAAGGAACTAACAAACTACCCTCCCAATGTCTGCTCAACTTCAGCCCCAAATCGGAAAAGTTTGTTTATTGTTTTTAGTCCGGAAGGTGTCCTAGGGAGGTGTCTTTATCAGCATCTTTACAAGCCTGTAAAACATTCCTTTTTTTTTTTTTTTTAAACCACAGGTTCCTTTAAAAAAAAAAAGTATATATATCTATATATCTATATATAGATATATATCTATATATCTATATATATCTATATATCTATATATATATTTATATCTATATCTATATCTATCTATCTATCTATCTATCTATATATATATAACTGATTTCAGAGAGGAAGTGAGAAATAGAAACAACAATGATAAGAGAGAATCCTTAATAAGTTGCCTCCTGCACACCCACATTGGGGATCAAGCCCACAACCCAGGCGTGTGCCCTGACTGGGAATGGAACTGTGACCTCCTGGTTCATAGGTCGAGCCAGGCCAGCCGGGCAAGCCTATAAAATATTCTCTAAAAGTCCCTTTTCTTTTTCCAGGGAAGATTGTGTTTCCCTGGGCATCCAGCGCAGGGCAAACAGACAGGCATGGAGCAGAGCCGAGCTGTGCAGCCTGAGAGGACCTGGCCAAGGCTGCTTCGCAGCTGAGCCTGATGGTGCTCCAGCCTTTGTGGGCCGTTTGGCACTGAATGAAGTTTCCTTCTTCACCACACTCCAAACTGGGCATTCTTGTCAGTGTTGAATTGGTTTAAACCCACATAAAGTCATGTAATTTAAAAAATAGGTAATAAACATTGAATGCGTTAAAAGAGCACAGGGATAAGATTTTGCACACACTTGGTCCCACATACTTCTATGTTCCCTTGCATGTTTTGGAAATACTAACGCATTGTTTTCTTCTTCTCCTTAGAGCACGACTGCAAGCTCGTCTATCCGCACCTCACAGTACTGAGCCTCCCCCCACCCCCCATGCTGTGTATAAAACACATTGTGTAAGTTAACGGGAGCGCCGCACCACCTCTAGGCCACACCCCCACTCCCGCCAGTCCCTCCGCCTCGAGGCGCCCTCCCCGGGCTGTTTCCGGCGACGCCTGTGGGAAGAGCCCGCCCTCGGAGCCCGCCTGGCTCCGGGGGAGGCGGGTGGCGCCGCAGGCATCGCGGCGGGCAGCCCTGCGCTCTGTGCGCCGAGGGCCCGGGAGGACCCCAGCGACGGAGGCAGCACAAGGCCCGGCGACAAGGCGGCTTTGGTGGAAGCGGCCCCTGGACTGACAGCGCGCTGTCTGTGGAGTCCTCTCAGCCCGCCGCCCTCGCCCTCGCCCTTGTCCTCGCCGCTGGCTGATCCCGGTGCAGCCGGCGCCATGTCTGTGAGCGAGATCTTCGTGGAGCTGCAGGGCTTTCTGGCTGCCGAGCAGGACATCCGGGAGGTGAGCCTGTTGCCCCGACCCCTTTCTCCGCTCCGGTGGGCCCGTCGCCCGTCCTTCCCGTCGCTTAGCCTCTCAGGGCTTCTCTCTGGGTTGTGCTTGGGGCGAGTCCCTCGTCCCGCCCCGGGTTCCGGTCTCCGGTCTCCCCTCGGCTTCTCCTGCCTCATCTGAGCGCCAGTTCCCCCCGTCCCGCACCCGCGGACCTCAACGCCTCAGCCAGCTCCTGGGACTCAGACGGCTGCGGTTTATGTGTTGTCGGTGTCTTTCAAGGCGCTTCTGGGTCTCTCTGTAAAGCTCCTATGGCTTCTCATTACACGTAGGGTAAAAACCCAGGTGTGTGTGTGTGTGTGTGTGTGTGTGTGTGTGTGTGTGTGTTCGATGTCATTTTACCCCACCTTCTGTTCTATTATGGTCACTTTACCTCCCTTTCATTTCTGTAGCTCCCCAGTAGTTCCTGCCTCAGAAGTTTTGCATGCCTTCTGCTCTTCCTGAAATATGCTTCTTTCCACCGCCCCTCTTCTCCCCCATTCATCTCCTGGATTTCACAGGCCAAACGATCTTTTGCCTGTTATGTTTTCTAGTAACGCATTAACATCTTAAGGAATTTGTGCAATTTCTGTCTTTTGAATGTCAGTTGAGCTGCCAGAAACGATGGGACTGTGCTTGGTTCCCCAGCATTTACACAATGCCAGCACATAAATGTGCTCAGTGAATATTTGTAAAACGAATGAATGAAAAAAAAATTATACCCACCCCCTGTATTGCATCTTATTCTTGTCTTGACAAACTGCATTCAGATGTTTTAGTGTTCCTGCAGGATAGTGGAGATGGGGGAGGTGGCTATTATCCTTTGAAGGTTAAATGAGAAACCTAAGGCTTTTTGATGACTTCTTGAAGGTCTCAAAGAGGAAGTAAGTGGAAGAGTCAAGATTCAAACCTGGCTATTTTCTGTTCCAGTTCAGTCCTTGTAAAGATAGTGTTTCCAATGTATGTGAAGGTGTCATAAATCAAACATGCTACCTAGCATATTTGATTTGAGGCTATGATAATAATGATGTTGAACTTATGTAATATTTTGGTTTTTAATTCTTCTAGGAAATCCGAAAAGTAGTGCAGAGTTTAGAACAAACAGCTCGGGAGATTTTAACTCTACTGCAAGGGGTCCATCAGGGTGCTGGGTTTCAGGACAGTAAGTATTTTGTTTTGACTTTTGAGGTTTTAATCCAGTTCATCGATCTCATTTAAAGGGTTTTACCTTCCAAACAACATTTCAGCTCTGTGTTATTTCATTATGAGATGTTTCTCATACTTTATGGTGATTAAAAATTGGAGTAGGTGTTTATCATTCTTACAGGTTTACAGAATTCTGTGTTTTGATTGATTTTCCACTTTCATGTAATATGGAATGTTTTCTATTTGATGAAGTTCTGCTGCTGATGATAGTAGTATATCATAGTTCATGTGTGTATTCAGCAACTTTTATTTAGCGCTTCAAAAACACACCAAACCTTTAATATATTGAATATGGTTTAATATGCATTTGTAGATATGAAATGGCCAGTGTAAATGTTCTTAAAAAAAAAAAAATATATATATATATATTTATTGATTTCAGAGAAGGAGAGAGAAACATCAATGATGAGAGAGAATCATTGACCGGCTGCCTTCTGCACACCCCCCACTGGGGATCAAGGCTGGAATTGAACCTGGGACCCCTCAGTCTTCAAGCTGACACTCTAACCACTGAGCCAAGTCTACCAGAGCTGTAAAATGTCCTGAATGTGTGTGTAGTTAGTCCCTTGAATGGATGGAAATCAACTACTGTAAATTTAGACATGGAGCCTTCATTGTAAGCACAACTGAAAAAGCTGAAATACGTTTTCAGATGGAGAATGATATAATAAAGTATTTTATAGGTGTCAGAGGCAAGTCATTTTTCTCCATGATATGTAGTTGGTTGGTCAGCCTGATTGAGAATAATTGGTAAAACTTTTATTTGACCAAATAAGAGAGCTAGAAAGCAGATCAATTTTAAGCCTCTTTTGAGGAGAGCCTAGGAATGTATCTGGTGTGCAGCCCCTTAGAGATGAGGTCACTTCTGATCGCTTACGATGTGCTTCCTAACATTCTCTTTCAGCAAGTTTTTGTTTATTTTTCAATATTGGTTCATCTGTAGGGGAACTAGAGGTGAAAATTTGAAAAGCAGAGATCCATACCCTATATTTTGTCATGTGCTTTTTTAAAAACTTGATTTATTTCCAGGTAGACTGCATAGATTAAGTGATAGTAAGTATTAAGCAATATTAAGTATTTGAAATTTGGTCTTTCATTATGATGTTTGATTATCATTTGTTTTTTGTTTTGTTTTTGGTGTGATCAGTTCCAAAGAGGTGTTTGAAAGCTCGAGAACATTTTGGTACTGTGAAAACACATCTAATGTCTTTGAAGACCAAGTTCCCCGCTGAACAGTATTACAGGTTTGTAAGAAAAGTAGCATTATTTTATAATGTTAAATTAAAAAAAGGCAGAAAAATGATATGTGCTGAATAATTGCTTAGCACTAGGTAAAAATCCCTCTATTTAGAAGAAGTAACAAAAAGAAAATAATCAAACTATTAATGGCAGTATTTGAACGGTGACAAAATTGGTGATATTTTCTTCCCTTTCATTTTCAAGATTTTCTTAAAAGATCATATATAATTTTTGCAATGAAAAAACAAAATATTCGTTGTATGAGATCAAAATAAAGAATAGCTTTTTAGTATATTCAAGTTGCTTGTGAAGTTAGATGAACCATATCTGCTATTTAGTTTATGGAGTTGAGCTTTACCCTAAAGCTTGACTTTCACTGCCAAGTAAAATATTTACCCAATATTTTATGTTGTGTATTGCTGGATTTATACCACCAGTTATTTTAAAGTATATATTTTTTATGAAAGAAAAATTGTTGCCAATCATAATTGTGAAACATATAGATTGTAAAATGCATCCCGATTTCACAGAATTAAACGGCTGTAGATGAAATATGGTAAGTAAGAACCTAAAATACCTACTTATGATTATTCTCTTACTGAAAAAGATATTCACTTAAGATGTGTTTATGGGCAATAAATAGGACATGTATGTGGGGGAGTGGATAGCACAACCTCACAAGATTTTTTAAGGCAGGAATTGGCAAACCACTTGTGGCCTGCTGCCTCTAAAGCTAAGAATTGCTTCCTTATTTTAAAGCTGTTAAAAAAAGAAAAACAGCCAAATAAGAAAGCCTAAATATTTATCTGGCCCTTCACAGAGAGTTTGAGGAACCTTGCAAAGATAGTAACGGAAGCTTATCAAAGTAGGAGGATAGAATTGTCAGGGTCTTTCGAGACCATGTAATTTGGAGTCATACACAGGCTGCCCTGTGGCTGATTTGGCCTTCAGAAGGTTCTGTTTGGTCTGCAGTGTGTTGAAATTTTTTTCTGAATTGTTGCCATGGTAGGCATAGAATAAATATCCAGAAGTTGTCCTATTTCTTTTTCAGGTTTCTGGCTCAGTTTAACCTAGTATCCCTGAGTTTTTAAGTCTATGTAGTGATAGCAAATGATAATTATTACTTATATGTGTGAATCAGGATTTTCTTGATATTCTACACTCAAGATGTAGGAATGAGTTAGGTGTTGAAGCTGATGTACAATTGTGTTTCTCCTCAGTCTTCAGTTGCCAATATTTATTTCTCTCAGAGCACTATCATTGTTCTTATTTATTAAGAACACCAGAAATGCATGAAGATTTGTGCAAGGATGGGCCTACTTCCCCTACTTTGCTCTGGCTGGAGCTGCCTTTCCACCTTCTCATACTGCCCAGAGGCCTGGAGCAGCTGGGGTGGTGCAGAATGCCTGCATCCTGCCCTGCCCATGGCTGCTCTACACCTGTGCATGAAAATTAACTCACCATTTTTGTTGGGTTAATTTGCATATTCAATCTTGATTGGCTGGTGGGCGTCATGAAGGTACAGTCAGTTAGCAAGTTACTCTTTTATTAGTGTAAATAATCTTCCATAATCTTCAGCTGTAAATTTTTGTATTCATAAAATTGAATCATGCTTATTTACTTATTAAAATATATTTTATTGACTTTTTTACAGAGAGGCAGTGAAATTGATAGAGTTAGAAACATCAGTGAGAGAGAAACATTGATTAGCTGCTCCCTACATACCCCCTACTGGGGATGTGCCTGCAGCCAAGGTACATGCCCCTGACCGGAATTGAACCTGGGACCATTCAGCTCATAGGCCGACGCTCTATCCACTGAACCAAACCGGTTTGGGCCATGCTTATTTATTAAACTTTTAATTTATAATATTATAAATTTGAACTTGTAAAATTTACACTAAATCTATCTAATATATTTAAATGTCATATTGCTCTTACATGCTTCATATGTTGGGGTTTCATGTAAAATTTTATTTGAAAAAGAATTCCAATTCTAAAATGTTTGAACTTGCCCTAACCGGTTTGGCTCAGCGGATAGAGCATCAGGTTCCAGGTTCGATTCCAGTCAAGGGCATGTACCTTGGTTGAGGGCACATCCCCAGTAGGGGGTGTGCAGGAGGCAGCTGATTGATATTTCTTGCTCATCGATGTTTCTAATTCTCCCTCTCCCTCTCTATAAGAAAATCAATAACATACATTTTAAAAACATGTTTGAACTTGACTGTATTAAACCTGTCTTTTTAAGGCCCCTGGTCGCTCAACCTCTGTGCTTCTCTTTATGTAGATTTCACGAGCACTGGCGGTTTGTGCTGCAGCGGCTGGTCTTCTTGGCAGCGTTTGTTGTGTACTTGGAGTCAGAAACACTAGTGACTCGAGAAGCAGTGACAGAGATTCTTGGCAGTAAGTGTCTTCATTAGTATTGATCTACAGAACCAGTACTGATGGATAGGTTATTTTTTGTTGGTTTATATTTTCTATTGTAACAAATGAAAACTAGATAGAAAACCAGTTACTTGGAAACATAAAACCTAAAAATATGTAGTGGCTGCTCTTAGTACTTGGGTGTTGTATTTGTAAAATTTAGTTTTTAATGTCCAGGCTGCAGAAAAGTTAGAAGAATAATACAGTGAATGCGTGTTTACAGCTCACTTAGGCTCACTACTTTTAACGTTTTGCCACATCTGCTTAGTCTCCTCACTTGGTGTGTATATATGTGTATGTGTGCATTTGTGTGCTCTTGTCAACCATTTGAAGTCAGTTGCAGATATTATGGTTTCTTCCTGCCTCTTCTGAAAACAAATATTCTCTGATATTTTTTGTGCTATTACTTTTTAAGAGAAAAGTCGACAGGAAAATTGTGTTTTGCTTGAGAGATAGAAAAATTCTCAATGAGGTCTAGTTGCCAAGGTTAATATCATATGTCAACTATAATTGAAAAATAAGAATTACTAGGAAACAAAAGATTGTTTTAAATGATTCATCCTTTTTCACACATTTAAAAAAATGCTAAGGCTTAAATTATATTCATATTATGACCTCATTTTTATTTTGACTTTTTTTTTTTTTTTTAGTTGAGCCAGATCGGGAGAAAGGATTTCATCTGGATGTAGAAGATTATCTCTCAGGAGTTCTAATTCTTGCTAGTGAACTGGTAATATACTCAGTAATTTGCCATTTTCATTCTTTTTCTTTTTTACTGTTAATTGGTTAATACTAACATAAATTTCAGGTGTACAACATTATAGCTTGATATCTATATACTCGATTGTATGCTCACCACTAAAGTCTGGTTTCCATCTGTCACCATCTATTTGACCCGTTACTCCCTCTAATTTCCCCTCCGTTAAACACCAGTCTGTTGTGTGTATCTGAGTTTGTTTTGCTTTTTTTTTTTTTTTACGTTTTCACATATAAGGGAGAGCATTTATTTTTCTCCATCTTATTTCTCTTGCCATAATACCCTCAAGGTCCACCCATGTTGACATAAATGGCAAGATTTCATTCTTTCTAATGGCTGCATGGTATTCCATTGTATATATACCACTTCTTTATTTATTCATCCATCTGTGGACACTTAGTTTTTTTTATATATCTTGGCTGTTAAAAATAAAGTTTCAAATTAATGTTTTATATTCTTTGGATAAATACCCAGAAGTAGAATAGGTGGACCATAATAGTTCTCTTCTTAGTCTTTTGAGGAATCTCCATACTGTTTTTCATGGTGGCTGTACCAATTTACTTTCCCATTAGTGTTTCCCAATAGTGTTTGAGGGTTCCCTTTCCTTCACATCTTCCCCAGCATTTGTTATCTCCTATTTCTTGGATAATAGCCATTCTAACTGGTGTGAAGAGGTGTGAAGTGACATCTCATTTTGATTTTGATTTGCATTTTCCTGGTGATTAGTAATAATGAGCATTTTTTCATGTGTCTGTTAGCCATCTGTATGTCTTTCTGGGAAACATGGCTATTCAGGTCCTTTGCCCATTTTTGTGTGTCTTTGTTATTCTTCACCTGAGGATATTTTTTCCTTTGCTTTTCAGAAAGAGTAGAAGGGAGGTAAGGAGACAGGAAGGAGAGAGGGAGGAAGAGAGGGAGGAAGGAAGGTAGAGAGGGAAGGAGAGAGGGAGACATCGATGTGAGAAACACACATCGACTGGTTGCTTCTGCATGCACCCCAACCAGGGGTTGGGAGTGAACTCGCAACTGAGGTGCATGCCCGTTGACTGGAAACTGAACATGAGACCCTCTGGTGCATTGGCTGCCGCTTTAACCACTTAGCTACACTGGCCAGTGCCTGCCCATTCTTAATTAGGTTGTTTTTGTTGTTGAGTTGTATGAGTTCTTTATGTTTTTTATATTAGTATCGTATTGTGAGTACCATTTGCAAATATCTTGTCCCATTTGGTTGGTTGCCTTGGCTGTTGATGGCTTCCCTTGCTGTGCAAAAGGTTGGTTTGATGGCTGTCTCATTTGTTTATTTTTGTTTATTTTGCCTTGGAGTCAAATTCACAAAAACACTACTCAGACTACCAGAAGCTTAGTGCCTATATTATTGTCTGTGTGTTTTATTGTTTCAGAGCTAACACTCAGGTCTTTAGTCCATTTTGAGTTAATTTTTATGTACGGTGTACAATAGCAGTTTAGTTTCATTCTTTTGCATAGGGTGTCCAGTTTTCCCAACTTTTTTGAAGAAACTTCCTCCAGAGTATATTCTTGTCTCCTTTGTTTGTAAGTTACTTGTCCATATATGTCTGGGATTGTTTCTGGGCTCAGTTCTGTTCCATTGGTCTCTGTGTGTTTTCTGCCATTACCATATTGTTGATTATTGTAGCTTTGTAGTATAGTTTGAAATCAGGTAGTGTGATACCTCTGGCTGTGACCTTTTTTCCTCAGGATTTCTATTTGGGGTCTTTTGTGGTTTCAAAATTTGAGGATTTGTTTTGTTATGCCATTAGGATTTTGAATAGTAGAGTGCTCTAGATAATATGGACATTGTAACAATATTAATTCTTCTAGTCCATGGACACAATGTTTTTTTCATTTTTTTTTTTTTGTCTTTAATTTCTTTCAAGAAAGAATGTCTTATCCCTTCCAGTGTACAGTGTTTCCTTTCCTTTGCTTATTTCTAGGTATTTTATTTTTTCTATTGCAGTTGTAAATGGGATTGTTTTTCTTTATTAATCTTTCTGATAGTTCATTGTTAGCATATAGAACTACAACAGATTTCTGTATGTTGATTTTGTGTTCTGAAAGTTTATTTCTAATAGTTTTTTTGTGGGATCTTTAGGGTTTTCTATATATAAAATCATGCCATCTGCAAATAGTGGTAGTTTTACTCTTTTCATTCCAATTTGGATGCCTTTTATTTCTTGCCTAATTTCTCTGACTAGGACTTTTAGTAATGTTGAGTAAAACTGGCAAGAGTGGGTGTCCTTGTCTTGTTTCTGTTCTATTTTTAGAGGAAAAGCTTTGGTTTTCACTGTTGAGTATGAAGTTAGCTAGCTGTGGGTTTGTCTTATATGGCCTTTGTTATGTTGAAGCACTTTTCCTTCTATACCCATTTTATTGAGAGGTTTCTTTAAAAATCATAAATGGCTTCCTGGCTGGTGTAGCTCAGGGGTTGAGCATCAACCTATGAACCAGGTGATCACAGTTCCATTCCCTGTCAGTGCATATGCCCAGGTTGCAGGTTTGATCCCCAGTAGGGGGATGTTCAGGAAGCAGCTGATTGATTATTTTCTCTCATCATTGATGTTTCTCTCTCTCCTTTCCTCTCTTAAATAAAAAAATACATATATATTTAAAAAACCATAAATGGATGCTATATCCTGTCACATTCTTTTTCTGCAGCTGGCGAGATGATCATACGATTTTTACTTTCATTTTGTTAATGTATATACTACATTGATTGATTTGCAAATGTAGAACCATCCCTGTATCCCTACAGTGAAATGCATTTGATTGTGGTGTATGATTCTTTAAATGTATTATTGTATTTGATTTGCTAGTATTTTGTTGAGGACTTTTGCATCTCTTTATCAGAGATATTGGCCTGTAATCTGTGTGTGTGTGTGTTCCTGCCTGGTTTTGCTTTCCAAATAATGATGTCTGAATTAGGAAACTTTCATTCTTTCCTCTTCACTATTTTGGAAGAGTTGGAGATGGAAAGGTATTACATTTTCTTTGAATGTTGGTAGAATTCAGCTGTGAAGTTGTCTGGTCCGGGAGCCGTTTGTTTTTTTCACCTTGCCACTTCACTGTCATTTTTTAAATGGGCACAAAGTTCCCGGGAGTCTGATTCATTCAGAAGCCATCTGTTGTCACCCGATAGTCGCTGACTGTGCACGGTATGAGTTTTGTTAGTCATCAGGGAAATGCCAGTTCTGACGAGGTGCATATTTGCTAATGTGTGAATTTTTAAAAAAAAATATATTTTATTGATTTTTTACAGAGAGGAAGGGAGAGAGAGAGCGCCAGAAACGTCAATGAGAGAGAAACATCGACCAGCTGCCTCTTGCACACCCCCTACCGGGGATGTGCCCGCAACCAAGGTACATGCCCTTGTCCGGAATCGAACCTGGGACCTTTTAGTCCGCAGACCGACGCTCTACCACTGAGCCAAACCGGCTTCGGCTAATTTGTGAATTTTTAAAAGATGACTATACCTCTTTGTTTCAAAGTAGTGGAAAACATTTCCTGGTAACGGTGTTAGCTCATAAAATTGTTTTGGAGAACAACCTAAAGGTAATATGTGAAAGTGTGGCCTGCGGGTCTTGCAGTTGTGATTGGAGGGCATGCTAAGGTGGAGCCACGCTGTAACACATCCTCATCTCTCTTTCCTTGTACAGTCGAGGCTCTCTGTCAACAGTGTGACTGCTGGAGACTACTCCCGGCCCCTCCACATCTCCACCTTCATCAACGAGCTGGATTCCGGGTTCCGCCTCCTCAACCTGAAAAACGACTCCCTGAGGAAGCGCTACGACGGCCTGAAGTACGATGTGAAGAAAGTGGAGGAGGTGGTCTATGATCTCTCCATCCGAGGCTTCAACAAGGAGACGGCAGCAGCTTGTGGGGAGAAGTAGGAGACTCTGCAGGCCCGGCCTTGCTGACTCAGTGGCTGCCAGTGAGCCTGAGCGCAGGGCCGCTCACGGTAGTTACGGTGCCCTGTTGCTAAGCACCGCGCTTTATTTTCTTAGCCAGTCGTGTGGTGTGTGTATCAGAATTGAAACACTTGTTTGGGGTTAAAGATCAGCCTTTACAAGACAGGTTTTTTGTTGTTGTTGTTGTTTTAGTGAATTTGCTCTGTAATTTAGTTCTGTCAAAAGCGCAAATGTCAGTCTCTTGGTAAAGTTTACTTCCTGCTTACCCTGATGCTGTTGATGTTCTGATTGAGAAGTTTATTGTCTTGTGATCCTTGTTATTTTCTATATCCAAAGTAGCCCCATACACAGATTTGTAAACAGGTTATTAAAAAGATGGTTGCCAACCAAAGGTCACTTACTTTACATTGTCCTCTCTCATAAGCCAGGTGAGTAATTCATATGTTGAGATTCTTTACAAGGGAGTTAATAGCTCCAGTGCTCTCTCACTGCCTTCAAAACTTAGAATTAAACTGCGAAGTCAAGTTCAATAGATACTTTTGGGAAGTTTTTGTATTAAAGAATTGAGTACATGCTATTGTTTGGCTGTTTATCAGATGTGGGGGTAGCACTTAGTGTTTTAAACACCTTGGTTTCCTGATGTTGCCTTCACATTGTGCTGTTGCAAGCAATTAAAAATCATTTTCACACACATCTTTAACACTTCATATGATATATTTCTTAGATATGAAACCTTTTTCCTAGCAGCCAGCTACACTCTTGGGTGTGGGAGTATAAAGTCACCCAGTCAAGTTAGTTAGCAATACCCTGACCGATGTGTTCTGGGAGAAAAGTGCTGTGCTTGGCCTGGAAGGAAGAGAAAACGGATTAAAAAACAAAGCAGCAGAAAAATGAACCAGCAGATTTGGCGCCGTTTCAGGTTGATGACTCTCCCAATAGGTTTTAAAGCGACAGTTTTGGGCAAGTCACATACATCTTGTTGCACCCTCCTCCCTCCTCATTTCAGGCAGTACTGAGAACACTTGCCACGTCATTGGCTATTTACCAGGTGGAGGGGTAGTGCTTGAATTGAAGTTATTAAAATGGTGACACTGAAAGGAAGGTGCCGGTGTTTCCAGAATAATGTGAAGATTTCAAGTGTACCACCCTTCCATGCCTGATTGCATTTTGGGCTTTCTGTTTGTAGAGTGGATATTTGGCCTGGAAATCTGAGCTTTTATCAGTTCGACAAATTTGCCATCGTGAGGAAAGAAGTAGAAATGAGGCATAATTGTTCTTTGCAGAAAATAAAAAGGTGTTAGTATCTTTAAAGTGTGACATAAGCACTGTCTAGATTGAATATGATAGGCTTTTAATTATATAGTCAGACATAGGCAGTACATTTGACAGTAGTTCTCTTTGCCTCTTAAATTGATTCTGCTTGAGAATATTAAGTTCTTGGCAGAAGTTATGGATTTTAGTTTTAAAAGCATTTAAGTAAAGGAGCACATTCTGGTCTTGTAGCTCCATTTGAGAGTTTAGGAGGGTCAGGTTTATAATCCATTTGTGTTTGTTGCTGGCTTACTGTAAGCAGTAAGAAGTGGGTATTTGTTTTCGGTCCTCCGTGGTCCATTGTGTGCCGTGAGAATTCTGTGCGGAGAACAGCTTCTCGTGCTGCCGGAGGCTAAAGAAGGCCAGAGCGGTCAGCGCATATTGCTGTGCAGCAGTTACCATAACCAGCGGCGGCGGGCACAGCATGCCCAGCGAGCGGGCGCCGTTCACATGGCCCATCTTGCTTGGAAAACTGCAAGTGTTCTGCTGATAGTTGAGAAGCATTGGCTCTGGTTTTAGATACCAGCATTGTTTTGTTCCTTTTCAGAAAACCAACCAGGTTAGAGAACAGCATGAGTTAGTGGATGCTTTTTTTTATCTATATATAAAAGGCTAAGTGACAGTCTGACCATTGACTGGTAGCTATGACGTGCAGTGACCACCAGGGGGCAGATGCTCTGACTGGTGGCTATGACATGCACTGACCATCAGGGGGCAGATGCTCAACACAGGAGCTGCTGAGCTGCAGTGACTTGGCAGTGGGGGTTCTCAGGTGACACATCCTGGAACCAGACAGGAAGGAGCCCAATTCTGGGGTGCATTTCCCTGAGAACTGCCCTTTCACAATCCGGGACCCCACCTGTTGGAGGGACCCCGCTCAGTCTGTGGACACCGTTGGAGCCATGGTGCTGTCCCAGATGCAGTCAGCTGGGGAGGGACCATGGGAGGTTGGCTCCAGAGCGTGTCTAGCCCTTCTTGCCCAGTCTTGCCCTGCCGGCCACCTTCTAATTAATTTTCTGTCAGTGTGCATGAATCCATGCATCAGGCACCAGTAGACTTATAAGAAGAAGAGAACTCCTTAAAAAGAACCATAAGATTTGCCCTGTTTCAACTTGAGCAATAATATGAATTACTGCTTAAGAGACTTTAATAAAAAACGCCAGCTTCTTTGGCAGTGTTCTGAGCCATTTACTGAAGCAAGTGGCTAAAGATGAGATGAAGATGTAGGTTGCTTCTGGCATAATTATGAAATTACAGCGTTCTTGTTTCTTGGTCTGGACTAAACTACTTGTCTCTTCAGGGTAGAACATTACTGTCATAGCTGATACCAAAATAAGTTGTTTTCTGAACTTGACATGTTTTTCTCAGTATAAACTGTAATAAGAGTTAAATAAAATAAAAAACTATCTCCCCTTCCCTCAAATCATAACAAACATTTAAGGGAGGTGAACTGGACTGGACTGGGTGGTTGAGGGACAGTGCGGGGGGGGGGGGGGGAGGTAGAGGGAGTAGTCTAGTTTACTGTCCGGTTTCTGATTTGGGTGACAGATTTAGGCGCAGTTAACGAGGGAGAGGTTGTAGGTGGAGCTGCATGTCTGGAGTGGCCAGGTATCTGATGTGTTGCTTTGGATATGTTGGGTTTATGATGCTGTGGGTCAGCGAGGCCCAGCAAGAATTCAGGTGTAAGGGAAACCCCGAACTAGCCTGGAGATAGCTTTGGACGGCTTCACACGTGGTGGATAAATCAGGAGAGTGGGTAAGGTCTCCCTGGAGAGCATGTGGAATGAGAACAGTAATGAGCCGAGGACAAACCCTGGCTAACCGCAGGGGTTAGTGAGTTAGGCAGAGGAAGTATGTCCGTGAGGGAGTGAAGAAATGGTTACAGAGGTTGCCAGAAAACAGTGGCTTGTTACGGAGCCAGAGAATAAAGAGTTTTAGAAGGCTTTTTTGGGTGAGATATTTAAAGCATATGATTTCACAGCCTGAGAGCCTTGTGACTGTCAGGCAAGTCTAGATTATGCTGTGGAAACAAACCCCAAACTCAGGCCTAGAACAAGGTTTATTCTCACTCCCTGTCCATTGCAGGTGGCTGGGATCCACGCCGCCCTCAGCAGCCAGCGGCTGGTCCTTGCTGAGGGAGAGGGAAAGGACTGGGAGGGTCCTGACAGCATGCTCCGGTCTGGGAGTGACATGTCACTTTTCCTCGTTGGTTAGAGCTGGACTTTGGCCCTGCTAAACACCAAGGGGGCTAGGAAGTGCAAGCCCGCCTTGGGAGATAAACTATATGTTGTTAGTTCCTTTTGTTAAATGATTACCGTGTTTCCCTGAAAATAAGACCTAGCCCATGGAAAGATAAGACATCCCCTGAAAATAAGACCTAGTGCAACTTTGGGAGAAAAAATTAATATAAGACACTGTCTTATTTTCGGGGAAACAGGGTAGTAGTGTTTTTTTTTTTTTTTTTTTTTTTTTTTTTTTTTTTAATATATTTTATTGATTTTGTACAGAGAGGAAGGGAGAGAGATAGAGAGTTAGAAACATCGATGAGAGTCATCGATCAGCTGCCTCTTGCACACCCCCTACTGGGGATATGCCCGCAACCAAGGTACATGCCCTTGACCGGAATCGAACCCGGGACCTTTCACAGTCCCCAAGCCGACGCTCTATCCATTGAGCCAAACCAGTTTCGGCCAGGGTAGTAGTGTTTCTGTCCTACATAAACTTCAGTGGGCATGGGAGGGGGAAAAGGCGTTCCAGGGTCACTCTTCCTTAATTTTATAATTTTAATATTTATTTTTTAATTCCATTTGACACAGGGCCACTCTACCTAGTGGGTGACAGGAAGAGGGTTAGCTCAGTCTGTCGGTGTCCACTCTAGTTGTGTCCTGTTTGAAAGATACTTCTCTAGGGCCTTTGGGGTTGGGTTTGTGCGTGCATGTTTCAGCCAGCATCCAGTGAGCTGTACCTGTTTCAGCCAGCATCCAGTGAGCTGTACGTGTTTCAAACACGGGGCTAACCATTTTATACAGACTGCCTCACTTCATCCTCATAGCAACTTTGTAAGGTACTTACCACTTTTTTTTTCTTTCTTTCATTAGAGACCTGGGCAATAGGCTTTCGCAGTTAACTTGCCCTGAGTTTTAGCTCTGAAGCTGAGGAGTTGCGATTCAACTACCACATACACCATTTCTTCCTTGATGCTTTTGAATGCGTCACTCCATAGCCTGGCAAGGCAAAAGTCAAGTCCACAAATTGCAAATTGTTTTGAACAGAGAATAATATGTGAGCATTGGAATAGGTGCAATTCATATTAAAATTGGCATAAAAATAAGTGGGAGACTTGATCTCAGCCCTCAAGATGTTTAGAGTCTAATTGCAGGGAAAAGGATGGTGAGAAAAATAAAAACAGATAAGACATTAAATATTCAAGTAATATTTGAGCACCAACTGTAATTATGAGCACCTACTGTAAAAAATGTTAACTTTGTTGAAGCGCATTTTCATATAAAATTGACTCATCAAGTAGTTGATTCAGTGATTTAATTTATCAAGCAGTGCAACCAGGTTGAAAAACAAATCAGTTTTAGAACATTTTTATCTTCTCCCATGATCCCTGTTCTCACTCTCAGCCCCAGGCAACCACTAATCAACTTTCTGTCTCTCTAAATTTG